ATTATAGACAGTGGTAAGCTCTCGTTCCTTGCTACATGCAAGCAGATTCTGGATAACCATGTTTGAATGCTGTCTTAGTAAAACTCCCGCTGTGGCTAAGAGGTCAAGCTTTATGAACTTTGAGAATCTACCAGGTTTGCAATTTTATGGTGTTTTTAAAAATTCTACTTGTGTGTTTATCCAAATTTAGATATGTGAAGGACCATAACTATATGAGCTCCTAAAATGCTGTAGAAATCTTTTTAGAAATAATGTTTTGCCTTATACTTTGATAGTCATATTTGTATGACTCTGTAATCATTAACATAATGCACTAAGGAGCTCTTTGTTTTTTATATAGTTAACATTTATGTAGTTTATTTTTTCTTGAATACAGACCAGAGAAAAGATTTGTGTATTCAAGTGGATATACTTTTTCCCAACAAAAATAAAAACTGTGTAAACTTTTTCTCTTTGTACTTTAGCTATATGAAAATGAGCCAAATTTAATGGATTAACATATTAATTATCTTAACGTAGGTGCCAGGTAACTAATATTCCTTTTTTTTCCCTTAGAATTTGGTTTCTGTAATTCCTAAACATTTTTTGTTGTTGAGAGCTAATTCATATTATTTGAAACATTTTAGAATTAAGTAGAATATACTTTTATAGGGAAAAATTAGCTTAAATGTAAAGTACTTAATTCTCAGCCTAGTAGATGACAACATCAGGGATTTGTGTTTAGAGAAAGAAAGGCCAGCATCGCCCTCACGCTGATGCTTTTGAAACAATGGATATAGTCTATCCCCAGTCTAGAATGTTGCCAGTTTTTCCTTTGTGGTTTAATTTTTTTTTAAATTATGCTTCAAGTGTTGAATTGTCAGTGCATCAGATGCTCCGATTTAAACAAATGTATCAAAATGTCTAAAATATAGAAAACAAATACAAAATATTATTGCTTTTTTTCTCCCAGCATTCCCTTATACTCGTTCGTGATTTGGCTGTAACTAATAGGCCTTTTATATATGATGGATGTTCTAATTCTGATGAATTAACGTAGATAATCTCAATGTATTAAATTTCTCCTCTGAAAGGGGAGATTGAGGTAGCTATACTCCAAGATAATAAAATGACAAGTACTTTATTAATAGACTATTGGTATACTTCAGGTATTGGTACATCATCTTATGGTCCATGTAATGACACTGTGGTTGTCATGATTGAAACCTGTGACTCTTTTGTTTTGTTTTGTTTTTTACTTTTGGGTTTTTTTGTTTTGTTTTGTTTTTTGTTTTTGAGACAGAATTGTGCTCTGTCGCCCAGGCTGGAATGCAATGGCAGGATCTTGTTTCACTGCAGTCTCCACCTCCCAGGTTCAAGTGATTCCCCTGCTTCAGCCTCCTGAGTAACTGGGATTACAGGCACCCACCACCACGCCCAGCTAGTTTTTGTATTT